TGCCGCGTCCGTCCTGAACGGAGCCCCAGGTGCTGACCCGTAGAGGTCAGGGCTCACGCGAGGAAGCCGCTGGTCTCCCACATTTCAGGCTTAACATTGAATTCTAAGCCCAAGTCCCCGTGCTCACGCCCCTCTGCTTATTTTTCATTTTGTGAAGATTTTCTGTTTTTCCCCAAGGATCGCAGAGGCCGCGAGTCACAAAGGCTGCTTGCTGTCTGCCGCCAGCGCCCTGATCTCGCTGGAGGTCTCCCCGCCGCCGACTCTCTCCCAGAACCTGTCAGGGTCTCCGCTCGTCACCGTCCAGCTCAGGCACACGCTGGTGAGTTTCGCGGCGTCTCTGTCCTCGTGTCCTCCCGTCTGGGTTTTCACTGACGAGCACCCGGTTATCTGCGTGATGTGCCGAGAACCGTGGGTGGTGCAGGTGCCGGCCCAAGCTGGCCTCGTCCTCTCCCTGCAGTTTCTCTCCTGTGACTTTGTTCTGAGCCACGGCGGGAAGCACCTCGGGCGGTGCCCGGGGCTGGTCGTCGGTGTTGGCGTTGGGGACGAGGCCGCCGAGGCCAGAGGGAGCTGCCCGGGTGTGTGTGCATCAGCCGTGCGCGGACCGTCCTCTGATTTATAGCAAGCGGCCCTCGGGACGAGGGGAGGGGTTGGCGCCTCTCGGTTACCTGGTATAACAGCCACCAGCGGGGCGAGGAGCTCCGCTCCGTCCGAGAGACGCCCTGCGCAGCTCAGGAGAAACCGTTTTTATGCTTCGCGTTCTGAGCGATGAGCCGTTTGTCCTGAAGCATCACCACCGTGGTCCCCAAATGTCATTTATCTTCCCGGTGGGCAAGGCTGCCCCAGGCGTTGGGACACGGGTGTGCACTGCCTTCTAGAAACACGCGTGCAGCTCGCCCAGGCCGGGGTCGTGGCGTGAGGGACGGTGTTGGTGCCGCACTCAGAGTCGGGATTTTCCGAGGACTTTGTCAGAGAGCTCAGAGCGTTTTGGTCGTTTGAAGTAACACGACGGAATCTTCCACGTCACTCCATCACGCCCTGTTCTGCTCCGTGCCGCCTTGTTCACGGAGGGCCTGCCGCAGGCCGCACGCGGGTGGGCGCCCACTTTCCTTCAGGTGGGATCGTGTTTTCTCCCCCCAGAGGGGCCCAGACGCGAAGCTGCAGCGTGAACTGGGCAAGTCCAGAGACGGGCCGGCCGCCCTCGGCCTCTGCCTCAACCTCCCTCGTTGCTCTGGCCTCTTCCTCCCCTTGGGGACCCCTCTTGTCCCTGTGCTTCTTGGCCGTGATCTTCCTTGTCCCATATGATTATAATCCCGTATTTTTACTGCATCTTTTCCCTGTTTAGATGTTTGGACACACAAATACTCACCATCGAGTTACAGTTACCTGCAGTGTTCGGTGTAGTCACCTGCGGCACAGGTGTGCGGCCCGGCAGCAGCAGGCCCCACCATGCATCCCGGCTGTGCGGTCTGCTTTGCCGTCCAGGGTGTGTCAGTGCGGGCTGAGATATTTGCACACGACCAAATGGCCTAGGGACACAGTCCTAAGAAGGTAGCAATAAGCCATGCATGGCTGTGTATGTATATTTTTAAGGACACCTTGGTTGTGTGTGTATCTCTCAGCCTTCCAGACACGGGGAGCTAAGAGGAGAGTGATCGGGAAGGCCTCTGACTGAGGAGGCTCAGGCGGTCTCTGGCGCGATTCTCACGGGTGAGACTCGGCACGGTGGAGGCTGGTACGAGTGCCCGGGGGAGCCGGTCTCTGCAGACGCTTCTCTTCCCGCCGCGCAGAATTACAGACCCTGCCGTGATGCTGTTGATGGAGGTCCCCCAGAAGGCTGCATTTTTGTCTTCTGCGCACTAAGAAAGGTGCCAGTTAGAAAACCACAGAGAAAGAAAGGGTGGATTGAAATGCAGTCCCCGTTCTAATGGTTGGTTACTGTAGCTATTTTTAAAAAAAGAAAGTGTTTGAATAAGGAGTCTTGTCTTGAGCAGAGGCGGAGAGGAATTTTTATCATACCAGGAGAGGATGCTAATTAAAGCTTGTCTTTGCCAAGCGTCCTCCAGGGTTTTGGGGTTTTTCTTTTGAAGGCCGCTTTCGTGTTTCCGAGGACGCTGGGGAGGCTGCTTTCTGGAGTTAGGATGACTTGTCTGCGGGGACGTGTTCCGTGGCGGCGCTCGCTGCAGGGAGCGTGCTGTCAGCGTGTCTGTCCCCCACGGCTCCGCGGGGAAAGCGCGGCCAGGAGCTCGCAGGAATTTTCCTCCAGCGAGGTCTTGCGGCGCCTTCCCTCCTGCACAGAGTGGGGTGCGATCTCCCCAGTCTTGAGGGAGGGGGTCGCAGGGGGCTCCTGGAGGCCCCTTCGTGGGCACCTGGTTAACCCCAGGGTGGGGAGAGAGCACCTGGCACCCCCACCCCGCCCGTCAGACCCTCCAGAACCCTCCAGGGCCCTAGGACGGGGCCCCCGTTTCCGGGTGTGTCTGTTAATCTGCACCCTCAGGCTGCTGGGGACAAGTCGGTGGGACGGTGATCGGCCCGGTCTGTGTTCTTTTTACATTTTTTATCTTTTTATTTCGTTTATTTTTTATTTCAAAATTTTTACACGGGTGGCTCTGGACCTTGCACTCTGCAGACGGAGGGTCACAGCGAGGCCCGGTGCCGCCGCAGGCTGGGGTGCTGCTGGGGCGTCCCCACGCGGCTTCTCTCTGGCGCAGTCCCCGCTCCCCGCCCGTCCCGCCGCCCGCCAGAGGGTGGCTGGTCTCATCACGCTTTCCCTCCCGCACACGGCGGAATTCCTCCTCCTCCCAAAGTGCCTATTTCAGTGTCTCGGGGTCCTCCGTCACTGAAGTCGGTGAGCCGACAACCGCAAACTCCGCCGCAACCTTCACGACCGCGCAATGGTCACTGGCCGTCCTCCCGCGTCACGCGCCCGGTTTGCGTCCTCCTTCTCACGCGGGCCCTGTGAGAACCTCCGTGGTCCTGCTCCCTTGTCTCTTTGGGATGACTTCTTAGGAGCAGAATTGCTCGGTTAAGTGTCTACACAGTGTTTCCCCATTTTAAGATTTATTTTGCATGTTTGAGCCGAATCTGTACTTGCTTATGGAGAGAGTAAGTAGAATTGTAGACTCAGACTCAAAAGCTAGAGCTCGAAGTTCGGATAATTCAGAGCAAACTTCGCATCTCCCCCCGACCACGTCTTAAAAGCCGCCCCTCCCCGTCCCACTCCATCTCCGAGGGTCCTCTTCCTGCCTCCCCCATGGCCCTGCGACTGCGTCGGGTCCACACAGATGATCCAGGCTCCTCTCCCTGTGCCGAGATATTTGAGTTCATCGCACCGAGCGGTCCCCGTTGCCTGTGAAGTGACGCTCGAGGGCTGTGGGGCAGGTGTGGCTGGGTGGGCGCCACACCTGGGCACCACCGAGGGCCAGCGAGGGATCGGCAGGAAGCCCCTCCGGATGTTCTCGGGCAGCGGCCGGACTCTGAGCTCGAGTGGCCACCCTGGGGTGGGCAGCCTCTTCCTCCCGGGCCGCCCCTCATGGGTGAGACGTCCTGTGTCTGGACCGCTGGGCACGGGGTCACGCGTGTGGGGGAGTCGCTCCCCCTCCCGCAGCGCAGGGCCCGTGCACGGCAGCTGCTCATCAGGGCAGGTGCGCGGCGTCAGCCTCTGCCGCTTCCGTGGAACCGCAAACTCCCCTCCCCGGTGGCCTTGCGCATCTGCCGCTCGGATGCCGTGTAATTTAGCATGTAACACCTGCGGTGTGTCACTGCTACACTGGAAAGACACAGAAGAGACCCGTAATTCGACACTTGCTAAAAGCTCATCGCTTCAAACGAGCTGCAGTTCGCAGAGCAGGGACAGCCATTGTGTGAGGACAAAAGCAAGTGCTCGAGCTGCAGCCTTCTCTGCTCCGGGTGACCTTGGCCTCCAGTCGCCTCTCGTGATCCACGGCGTGTCTGCACCGCGCTGCCCTCCTCAGGTGACCCGTTCCAGAGGGCGACTTCACGGCACTTAGTGCCACGCCGACAGCGGGGCCAGCCGGGGGTGCTCCTCTCACTCCGTGCACAGGAGCCCGGGGACGCCCCCGTCCGGTAGCTCCCTCTGGGGCCTGGTCCTGCGGAGCAGCCCCCACGCCCCCTGCAGTGTGTTGGGACGAGGCCTCAGCCGTTGCACCGGCTGTGTCTAAGGAGATCTCAGGCTACAGCTGTCGCCCAGCCGGGCTGGAACTCTGGCCGTAGGCCGGGCTTAATTTCCCTGGGGTCTGAGCGCGAGGGTCTGGCGGACTGACAGAGATGCCGCCCCAGCTCTCGGGCCACTCTCGGTGTCCATGTGGCGTTCTGGGGCTTAGCGTTCGCCCGCGCCGGCCCTCCCTCCACCGGCCCTCAGGCCCTTGTCTTAAACCAGGTTGTCATGACGCCTCTTCCAGGCAGGGGCTTTGGGGTCCCCATTTCTTTTTCTGCCATCGGGTTTCACTGGGCCCCCGAGGGCCACGTCTATGGGGACCCGAGACTCTGATTCTCGAGGTGCCAACACCCAGTCTCTGGGATCCTCAGCTCGGTGCACCAAACAGCGGGCAGCTTTGCTGACACCCAGAAACCCCAGAAGGTCATCACCCCATCGTCCCTGCGTGGAACCAGGGGGCCATCGGGCCTCTTCCGTGAACTGCCTTTCGGGCAGATGACCCCCAGCTGACCTTTCCTGAAGCAGACGCCACAGGTGGCCCTGGGGTTCCTGCCCCCACAGATGGGGGGTGACCTTCCTTCCCAAATGCAGCCTGTGGCCCTTAGACACGGCCCGAGGTTTCCCTGCGCAGGGTCAGGCCCTGGTGCCTAAACTCTCACCCTCTGGGGTGGACGCGCGCGGCTCCCCGAGCCCTGCTGCAGCCCTCGTCCCAGGCCACCCGGCGGTGGTGGCAGAACTCACAAGATAGCTCTCTTCAAAGAAATCTCAAAAACCCTCACCTTACTGTTCAACCTGAGCCCTGTTAGATCCTCCCTGTGCGTGGGTCCTGACACCCACTTGTAAAATCCCGCTCGTGTCAGCTGCACGACTCTCTTTGGGACCCTGAAAAGCATCTGATGCCTCAGCTGACACCTCCCACCTCACTCTGCTGCCTGTTTACGTGGCTGTAGCCAAGGAGCTTATTGCTTCAGAAGCACCTTTATGTCCTCGATTCAGGGCCGAGTGTAGGCTTCTGTGCCCACGTCTTTCAGACACCGCTTGGGGACAGCCGCAAGCAGAGCGACTTTGCTGCTAGAGGTGATCGCTGGCTGCGATTTCTTCAGGGGCTTCTCTGCTCCCTCTCTGGGTCCTGAGGCCGTTGTTAT